GTTTTGGGGAAGAAAAAATGCGTCTTATATGCTGAAAAATACGGTACCGTATTTCTTCCTTGTGGCTTAGACATCAATGCTTCTTAAGCCATTTGATGTGCAGAAACAGCAGGGAACAACACTATATTTGTGCCAATTGGCTACAACTGTTTTTTTCTGTCCTGGACACTTGCCACAGATTAGTAGCCAATGACTTATGGACTAGCATCAGTCTACAGACCACAACTTTGAGTAGCACCAGATTATAGAATTACCCTTTAGGAGGTCATTTTGCCTAGGCTCTGTGTTGCCTTTTGATATTGTCCTTGACATCCTATTTCCATGTTACCTGCTCCAGTTGAATATTTTATTCTCACAATTATAGTAAGGGAGGAGGCTAGTGATTGTGATGCTACATGCTCAACTTCATTAAGAGTGGTAATCTTATCACTATGTGTATCTGAGCCTTATCAGTGGTGACTCCATTAGTCTTGAAAATGAAACTCAGATGAGCCAAGTTTATTAATTCTTAGACTTGACTCTTTTTTAAAAGATAGTAAGAATAAGAAATAAACACTGTAAAATGTTACCTAGACACTTTCTGGTGTTTAGAACATTTGTGAGATGATCTTATTGCAACAAAATATTCAGTTTAAGGAGGAGTGTGGAAGAAGCAGAAAGTTTTCTGACATCCCTTGAACTAGCCAAATACTATGCAGTAAGAGAACTATGACTGTGAGGAACTTGTTGGCGAAAGAAACAGGTATGATTTCAGGTGTGGATATGTGACCTCTGAGCCAGAGTGTCCAAACAGACAGAAACAGGTTTAGCAGATTATCCATTTCTCTGTATGATCAGAATCATAAAATCATAGAGTTGGGAGGGACCCAAAGGACAATCAAATCCAACCTGCTGTCCTGTAGTGATACACAACTAAAGTACTCATGAGAGATGGCCATCCAATTTTTGTTTAAAAATCTCCAAAGTCCACTACCCTCAGGGGCAGTGCATTCCACTGTTGAACAGCTCTTACAATAATCAAGTTCTTCCTCATGTTTAGTTGGAAATAATAAGAAAGACAGCTTGTCACCACAGTAAGGCTATATTTTGGGAGAGAAAAGACTGTCATACCTAGACACCTATGGAAACGAAAAGACAAATCAGTGTGATGGCCTCATGGAATTGACTTTCACATCTTTATCCAGGACACTGATGGACACGTACAAGAGCTTGAGGTGACCTGCACAAAGTCGGAGGCAGTACAGAAGCCCAAGGCCTTTATCCACTGGGTGTCAGATCCTCTGATCTGTGAGGTTCGGCAGTATGAGCGCTTGTGAGTATAGAAGCGGCAACAACTCTAAACCAACTCAGATTGGGATAAGCCTCGAGAAGAAGGCATGGTCAGCTGGACTTCCCTCCCTCCTGACAAATCTCTGGTAGGGGGAGCCTCCCCATTTGTATTTTGCCCTTGGACACTCTGATAAGAGGGAAAGCTAACAGAGAGGAGAGTAGATTCCATGCCTCATCTCCTTCCTCCCCTACCTTAACTTTATCCCACCCTCATTATTTATACACATTTTCTTTCTCTCTTCCCTCCCACAGTTGATGTTAATGGTTTCTTTTATGATTGGAAAGAAGCAAAAGTTTACCTAGTAGGTCCTACAAATCCATAACATTTCTTTCACACCATCTTCCATGCAAAATTGATCCAAATTAGAATTTTTTTTAAAAAAGCCATAGGTTGCTGATTGTTCCCAAACTTGCACAAAAAATGTTTGGAATGTCAGCAGTGTTTGAGATGTCTACATACCATGTTTGGTCAAAATCGGTTCATCAGGAAGCAACTGTAGTGTAAAAAAAATACAGAAATGTGGAGTATTTGTTAAAGAGGCATTGAAAGTGGTTGACAGATCAGATCTAGAACCTAACTATGGTCTTCATTTAAGTCCCATTGAATAACATTCCATGTTTAGAGACCTGGTCAGGCAGAGACTGGATTTTTATAACATAAAAGATAAACACTTTAAATTGCAGTATATGCATACATTGTGAAGTGTTGGGATATGTAATTGAAGAGACTGGAACAGCATGACATTTCCACTTCTTTTGAGTTTATCCTGATAAAGATGGAGAACCACAGTTTGGGGGGGGGGGTCCTGTGTGGCCCTCTACAGGTCCCATGAGGTCATTGCCTCTTTCCATGACATCATAATTTGGCAGTTTCTCAGCTTCAGTATATTCCACCACCACCCCCTTCTTAACGACTGCAGTGTCTGTTCTAAGGCTTAGTTACTGTCAGCTAAAATATGCCTATATTTTTGGACCTGCTTTTTTGTCTTTGGCCATTCCCACCACTGAAATGTGACCCCTGAGGACTTTCATGAAATGAAGTATGGCTCGGGCTGAAACATCCTACATAGAAAACACCTTGTGACTACATCTGTGGATGGGAGTTAAAGCTTATAGCAGATGTGACTTTGTTTCAGTATTTAGGACATAGACTGGCAACTTCCAAAGGTCCAGGGGCTGCATCAGCTCTCCATACACACACCTCAATGGGCCACAACCTTCATATTTCCCTGTGCCTCCCCAAATATTGTGAGCTATTGTGGTGGGGCAGTTTTAACCTAATGAGGCCCCTTTATCAAAACTAGAAATGATCATTAGTGAGTGAAGCCTCTATGGAGAAAATGTTCCCAAAATGGAGTACTACAACTGAAAAGGCTTACCACTGGATCTAGCTCAATTTCACAGACAGAGGGATCTTGAGTAAGGCTATTGAAGATGACTGTCACATTTCATCCTTGGTGTTTAGGCAGAAGTTCATGCAGAATCAAAACAGTCCTTTAGCTACCAGAGTCCCAAGTGATATCTATAGTTCAAAAGTTAAAGCCAACACCTTGGATTGAGCCTGAAAATGCAGTGAGCCTGTGCTGCTGTTCAAAAGATGGTCAGGAAGTTCTCCAGCCCCATTTCTTGCTAGAACAGAACTAAACTGCCATTGTCACACACTGATTTAATTGCTTTCCAACCTGAAGCAAGGCATCCCCGTGCTTTCTACAGAGCACTGAATGGTAGAAGGTAGAGCAAATATCTCAGCCGCCCTACTACAAAAAGAGAAGCTTTTCCTTGGGGTGATAGTTACCTTGTTGCTTCCTGCCAAGCCAGTATGGACAAGAGTTCAAGAAACATTCTCTGGACTTTTGTGAGGCTGGGGTTTTTACTGCCCAGCTTGCTTTGTTCAGTGAAGTGACGCAGACTTAATATGTCTGTGTGACTTAGCTGGTTCCCCAGAGGAAAAAGAGGGCCACTGTGCTTGGCAAATAGAGATGCCTTGTGTCCTGTGGAAGCTTATCATCCTTTCCAGCAATCCAATCCAATTTTCAAATATGACTTACGCTTTTCACTTGCAGATTCCTGCACAAGAATCCTGAAGATCCCACAGAGGTGCCAGGGGGATTCCTAAGTGACGTCAACCCTGTGAGTGATGGGTCCAAAAGCTTTGGGCTGAATAGAAATAAGGTGGCAGATGGAAGGAGTAGAGTGTGTGAAGGAGGCTACAGTAAAGGAAACTTATTGTAAATGAAAAGGTAGAAAACTCTAAGATGTGCTACCGTATATATATGTTGATATTAAATTACAGATAGCCAGTGTAGCATAGTGGTTTAAGCATTAGACTATGGTTCTGGAGACCAGCGTTTGATTCTGCTCTCAGCCATAAAACCCACTGGGTGATCTTGGGCA